AATTCTTAATCAGAGACCCCATAAATATCTAAATAATAAATACTAAATTTTACCCAAATCATTAAAGCCGAACGGTTATATTGGATCAGCCATTTTATTTTTTGAAGAAATGGATATCAAATTTGTAATCAGCCCCTCAAAAACCACATGTTGTTAATAAGTTTATTGAATAAGCATACGGTTTTTTTAATAGTATAGGGCTTATAGAGGGTAAATTGAATTGCCGGAATGCACAACCGACGCACAGAGGGTTATTTAAGCTATCTGGGCGGTTAAAAATCGATTTTAAAAAAGTAAATTCGGGTAGAAAAACAAATTATTCCTCGAAAGAATGATCATAAGAGAACAATAATCTACTATTATTACCGTCCCACACGTGTAAACATACCTTCACAGTCAGTCGAAACTTTTAACATTTGAAGTGAAATTGTTGTTTGCGGCGTTACTTCAAAATTATTATTTTTCAAAGGTGATAGTTTCTTTTTGTGTTTTAATTTCAAGTGTATTGTTTTGGATTATACGATGGCAGGTAAGTGAGCATACTTTTCAGGTATTTTTATTAAGATAAGTTTCTATTATGAGCCTTATATGTGAAATTTAAAATAGCTTATTATTGCTTTTGGTTTGGCTTATAATTTTTAAAAAGGACCAAATTAGTTGTACTTCCCGGAGTTCCCCGCCAAAATAAAAACTTGTATCATATATCATGATTATTCATGTTTACGACTTCGCTTAAAACTGCCACGGAATCACTTGTTTTTTGGAAATCAGAGTGTCCAACCTGTAAAGGTTCGAAATGACAATTATTTAGCAAATCTTGATTTATGTTTCTAATGATTTTTTATTTCTCTTAGGTCCATCAAACGTCAAAGTTTTTACTCGAATTAAGCTTTTCAACATGATGCAGAAACAAAATGTTCCCACAATTAATGAGAAACTTGATTTCATGGAAAATTTCCTGATAGGTTATGACGATTACACTGTTGACAAAATAAAGGAAATCAAGAATAATTTTTCACGTTTCAAGTCTGAAATAAAATTTCGATGGGCTGCAGCATATAATAAAGAGGAAACTTTTACTAAAAAGAATAAAGATTTGTTGAAAGTTAAATTTACAATTTTGAAAGTTACTAGTCGGCCTAAGAAAATATTTCAAGAATTAAGTGAGAGATCACAAAAAAAAGTGTAACAGTGTAGATGTGGAGGTCATTTTCTATGATCTTTTAAATATAGCTGGTATAAATGCCCTTTGCGTTTATAAAGCAAACCATCCCCAAGAAAAACTATCTAGAACTGAATTTATTGAGAAGTTTGCCTGGAAATTAATCAGGCCACAGATAGAAGTAAGATCAACTGTTGTCTCTTTACCGCGGTGGAGCTGAAAAGACGAGCGCGTACTCTTCTTGGATTGGAAGTGGTTTTAGCCCCCCTTTCCATTCGGCATGAACGTCAAAATTATGTTGGCCAATGCCATGTTTGCCCGTGATAAGTCTACAAGAGATGCTTGTGGCCATCACGCATGCAAAGAACACATGGAAAATTTGTGTATTACCTGCTTGGCCGAGTAAAAATATTGTCATTTTCATACCCCCATTTCTAAGGGTTGTAATAAAGTGAATTTTTTTGTATGTATATTGGTATGTTAGGTTTAGTTTACTACATGTTTTGTTAAATTTTTTGTTATTGTTTTAAATAAACATCTACGTGATATTTAAAGTATAAAAATGTAAATATTTTGTTTTTCACTTCCTATACATATATTTTGATGTAAAGTATACAGTTTATCAAAGTATACACATAAATAAACTTATATTTTAACATTTTTAATGATTTGAGATATAAGGGGTCACATAGTAATAAACTCAACATGGGCTACGATCGTAGACCGTGCGACCAACCGCTTTACAAAATACCGGGCGCCTAACGAAGGGTTAAGGAAACCATTGAAATGCTGCTTTCTGCTGAACTTCCAGCAAAAAGCGATACGGTACAGAATTCTGATGACGAGGAAACTAAAGATGATACTGAATTAATGTCTGACGAAGGCAACTCATTTTCTGACTAACTCGTCATTAATTTCCAAAAAGTTTTTATTTGTGATAATTAATTTTGTTTGATTTTCTTTAAATATTTGCCAATTATCCTTTAAATTTTATTAAATTTACTAAAAAGCAGCAGGATATTAAAATTCGACCCAATTTAACCACTAAAAAATTTTGACCGCCCAGATCGCTCAAATACCCCACTGTGCGACGCAGCGCGGGGCCAGTAGGCTACTGCATGGAGACCGTTCAATTTCAACAAAATTCTTTAAATTAAACTCGCGATAACTCCTTAACTAAACGTGCGATTTTTATGAAATTTGGACAAAATACTTGGATTGGTACAGCGATGTTATTAAAATAAAAAATACAAAATTTTAACCACAATTAATTAATAAATGCATCAATAGTATTTAAGTCATAACTATGCTTAAATTAGTAGATGTTTATAAATTATATACATATATATATAATATATATATTATATATATATATATTATATATATATATATTATATATATATGGTTTTATATATATATGGTTTTTTTTCTTGGTAAAATAAATAAGTTTTTCTCCGAATTTGACAATTATTAATAAATTATTATAGCCGTAATATTAATAAATAAGAGAGCCTGCGGCGGCGTAAAAAGCTTAATTGCAACAAATCATTTATTATCAGTAATTATTACTAAATGTGTTTATATTGCACACTGTTCACTGTACAATATAAAACAGGAATTTTATTTTGAAATAAAATTATTACCTTATCTTTTAACTTTTAGCAACATTTGCTTCCCACAAATTATTATTCTTCGATTTTTTTCGTCCGAAAAAATCGGACGAAAAAGATCGAAGAATAATAATTTGTGGGAAGCAAATGTTGCTAAAAGTTAAAAGATTTATTTATTTATTTATTCTTTTACAAGCACAATATAATATTAATTACAACATGTCGATACCCTAAACTTAATCCTACATAGCCTAATACTAAATAACATTACAATTAAAAAATATCTGGATATGCTTTACAGTGGTATTAAAAAAATCAATATCACAGTTATCAATTAGATTATTGCACTGCACCAACATATAATTAAGCTGCGAACAGTCTTTTTTATTAGTATAAAACAGTATTTTATTAGTTATCCTTAAGTTAATCTTTGGCACTGAAAATTAAATATTATTAACAATATATAGATCTTGTTTCAACAAAAAATATAAAGAAAACAGCTTGCATATTTCTTCTTTCGAGGATTACAAAAATAAAATAATTTAACATATAGATTTCTTAGATATTTACATGTAACAAATTATAATGTATATAATGTATGTATCTATAGATACATATGATACCAAAAACCGGTATAAATTATATTCCTTACATGTAAATATCTAAGAAATCTTTTTTGTACTTTTTGAATGACATTACTATTACTTTCTGCTGTAGGTGATCAGATAATACAAGCATATTCAAGATGAAGCCTCACTAGTGCATACAATATATACAATTTAGTAAGGGATGAAATAGGTTTAAAATATTTGGCATTTCTAAGTACAAAACCAAGTACCCTAAATGCCTTATTTAGGTACTATTGTATTGTATACAATAGGTAGTCATAGGTTTCATATTTAATTGCAATTTTACACCCAGATCTTTACATTAATAAATTCTACTTAAGCTTATGTTATTTATATTATATGTACTATTAATAAATTTATATTTACGTGTGTGTTACTTTTCTACGTTAGGAAACATCTTATTTACTTGAAGCCATTCTGATACATAGTCTAGGTCTTTTTGTAACATTTCGTTATCTTTTTCGTTGTTAATCTGTTTATATATTTAAAAATCAAATCAAACAGTAGCCAAGATGAATATTTAACTCTTAGCGGTCAATAATTATTGATAAAATTAGCAAACAGTAGCGGCCCTAGGTAATCATTTTATTTCAAAATAAAATTCGTGTTTTATATTGTACAGTGAAAAGTGTTCAATGTAAACACATTTAGTAATAATAAGTAATAATAAATGATTTGTTGCAAATTAAGCTTTTAACGTGATAAATCGAGTTTAGTTTCGATTCTTGTGCACTTTGTTCTCTTTACGCCGCCGCAGCGCGCCGCGGACTCTTTTATTTATTTGTATTACGGCTATAATAATTTATCAATAATTGTCAAATTTGGAGAAAAACTTCTTTATTTTACCAAGAAAAAAACGTATATATATATATATATATATAATTTATAAACATCTACTAGTTTAAGCATAGTTATGACTTAAATAATATTGATGCATTTATTAATTAATTGTGGTTAAAATTTTGTATTTTTTATTTTAATAGCATCGCTGTACCAATCTAAGTATTCTGTCCAAATTTCATAAAAATCGCACGTTTAGTTAAGGAGTTATCGCGAGTTTAATTTAAAGAATTTTGTTGAAATTGAACGGTCTCCATGCAGTAGCCAGCTGGCCCCGCGCTGCGTCGGTTGTGCATTCCGGCAATTCAATTTTAAAAATTATTATTATTATTTTATAAGTATTTCTTTCTTGGTTAACGTTAAGTTGTGTTATAAAATAACACAACGTTAACCAGAAACAAATTTTGTTTATTATGAAATGCGAATAATGTTCTCATTGGTCCATTTAATTTGGCCAGAAAAACGTTTTGACGATCTCCGAATTGTCAAGATTTGAAATTTGGAGGTCGGGAATCTTAAAATCGATTTAATATTTTGAGAAAACCGCTAAAATTTGAAATAATCGAGAGAACGAGAGAGATCGAGAGAAACGAGAAATTCTCGAGCGAGAGAGGGCATTCTCTCGTCTCGTCTCGAGTATTTTTTCGAGAGAAAATCGCCCTCTCGTCTCGTCGAGAAGAGACGAGACAAGAGGCGACAATCTCTCGTATCGGAGGCATCACTATAGTTTAGCGGTTTAGGATATACAAAATTACTTACGTCATGGCCTGATATATGGACTCGATGCCGTATCTCATGGCGAATTCGTCGACGATCTCCTCGGCCGCCTCGTCAAAGTAAACCTTCCAAGCATCGTCGCCTTTGGCTTGCGGAAGGGTGACGATGCCGCAGTTCTGCTCGCAGAGGTAGTGGAAGAGGTTCTCGTGCAGGCAGGTGTACTGCACGTGGTAAGGCGCCACTTTCTCCTCGCCCTTGATCTCGACTGATATGTGCAAGCGGATGGCGCCGGACACGGCGGATTTGTCCGTCCGCTTTTCCAAATTGTACCAGACGTCCATCTCGCCGGACAGTGTGCGAACCTAAGGAGAACATTTAAGGCTTTTTTAAAAAATGATCCAATTTTGGTGATTTTATAAGAAATATTTGTTGTGAGTTTTTACAAATATGCAAATAATAATGTAGCGAGTACCCCTCTGGATCTCGGAATGATGACTCATCGCCGATGAGTCAGCGCTCGAACAATCGAGAGTGGTGTGGAGCTCGCTGGATGCTCGAGAAGACGTAGGCGCTGAATATATAAGGAACGGCGCAGCATGGAGCAGTCAGTCAAGCTTTGGTACTCGCGACGAAGTAAATAAATATACGTGCAAATAAATAGACTCTTGTACATAAGTGATATATAAATAATTAGTAGTTAGTTTATACACTGTTCAAAATTTTATGACAATTTTAACACCAAATTAACACCATACATGGTCTATATCGATACAAACCAAAATGGTGTTAAATATGGTTCGTTGGCCGGTGTAAATTCAAATACTAAAATGGTGTTAATTTAACTTTCACACAGTATTAAAATAAATTTTACCTGGTGTAAATTGAACTCCTTTTCAGTGTTAAATATTATGTGGTTGTGGTCAAATTAAATCATACTACACAGAAAAAAGGAAAAAAAAGGAAACAGGAAGTTCCTTGACGCTTTACTACTATATTAATATACTAGTAATGCGTCAAGGAACTTCCTAATTACCAGTGGTATTATTCCAGAAAATGGAACCTTCAACTCGCTAGAGATAATGTTTTTAGTGCGTTCCACTAACTTAAAATACTTCAAGTATTGACAGCTGTTTCCACCTATTTAAGGTCTCTTTAGTATCGAACAACTTGTAGTGTCACACCAAAGCAAAGGACCACCTGAGTTTATATATTCCTCATGTAAGTCAACAGAGGCGAGATTTAAGAACATCACGTGATCCAGACCGCCTTTGCCGCGATCGGTACACATTTTCAACCATAATTCATGGTGTTATTTTAACACCACTTGGTGTTGGATTTTGACACCATTTTAAGATTACTTTTTACACCACAGATATTTTAAACAGTGTAGTTTCTTAGTGTTTTAAGTGTAATTAAGTTATAAAATAAATAGTTTGGTTCGTTAAATAACCAGTGCGTGTTTTATTCACACTACGAACAGTAAAAACGTTACATTAAGATCTGGACACATTGGATTTTTTCAATTAAATCTTTAAAAATAAAAAAACATTAAGTTTAAAAGGCATTTAATACCAAAAACAAAAAAGTGAAAAATGATGTTAATGTTAGGCGTAAGAAGCCAAAGGGTACAAGTGCAAAAATGAAAAGTGGAGTTATTAACTAAAGTTTTTGCTATATGGGTGAATCTCTCGAAATCTCCCCCGATGGTGTTACCCCGAGATATTTAATAAAACTAAATGAGTTCGACCTACCCTTTTATTGTGTTTTGATCTTTCATAATCAAGTAGATATTACAGCTCAGGTTCCAGATTTTCAACCGCAATTAATTATTTTTTACAAAGTTTTAAAAATCTAAAACCTATCCTCCGTGACTGTTACTCTTTCTAGGTTAACGTATATCTTTTCAAATATCTGAGGTAGTAAAAGCATACTAAAAATATCAGTTCACTAAGTAAATTAAACACATCCAAAGCAATCGAATCAAATATAAAATATTATTAAAAATTAAAAGAAATAATTTTTATAACCATTTATGTAGGTGTTACAAAAATTGATTCTATACTCCGTGAATCTGTTTTTGCTTTAAATTTTATGCAACGGATGGCGCTTTAATCATTTTAAATAAGCAAAAACCTCTGTTTACGACATTATAGATGCATGTGATTCCTGAAGGTCAGAATTTATATGCAGATGAGAGTGTTGCTGTTTTATAATTCAAAATTTTAAGTTCATTAATTTGTTATTTAAAAACCTATCCACCGTGAAGTGTAATATCTCAGTAAGTAGGTTTTTTTATAAATATTTTATGTATGTACAATTGTATTTTTAAAAAATATTGAGGTGTCAAAAGATACAATAACTTATTTTAAATATACAAAGAAATGTTTTAAAAAAACATACGAAATCCTAACCTCCGTGAAGCTATCTTCCGTGAAGCTGTAATATTCAAAATGTATACATATATTTCTTAAAATTCTTGCATTAGTGCAGAACCACTTATGTTATGTTATTACTAGACTCTAAAACACTACATTCTGCACTTAACTTATTTTCATGCTAAAATGCATTTACCCTTTTGCTTTTTACCCCTTAAGGGGTTTCTTTTGCTTTTTACCCCTTAACATGAGTAGGTCCATAAAGAAGCACCTTATACTTTTTTTTAATTTGAAAGACTAAAAATGATTTGTAATAAATGTTAAACATTTATCCTACCAAAAAGTACGCCACTGATCGACCAGGAACCGCGGATTAACCTTGTCCATTAGTTATATAGCTTATCTTACTTATCTAAACCCGATCGATTCATATGAAAAAGGTTTTATTCGATTATTTTCAAAAATAACGGAAAAAAATATATGGACCCAACTGAAATTATGGTTAAGAAAAAAGGAGCAACGTTCATGATAGGCCCTCATTTTGTGGACTTAAGGTATTTCTGTAAACGTATTTTGATACTAAAAATGGCACAAGTTCCATTGGACCTATGTAATTTTATGCCGTTTTTTACTTTCAAATTTAATATGGAAATGGGCTTAAGTGTCACTCAGGAAAACCCGGTTAGACAATATCAAACTTTGTTGCCTTTTATACAGCCAAATAGTAAATTGTTTTATAATAATTTAAAACATAACGAGAATAATAATAATAATTTAAAAGAAGATGATGTTGATGACGTTTGTCCAGCAGAATTAGTTTTTGATGAATAATGTATACTGCCCTACTATGGAGAAAGGCAGTAATTACAAAAAAATTCTAAATGCGTTTTCTTGTGCTATGATAAAGCTTTGAACATTTTGTATCTTAATTCAACAAAGAAATGCAGTAATCTATATGATAAGTTAAATAAATCAATAAAATACCTAATGCTTTTTATAAAAATGCAGTTTATGCTAATTTTCCACAAATTTCTTGTTTAGCAGTTACTGCCTTTCTCCATAGTTGGGCAGTATAGTGGGTAAATATTGAGATGTCCCCCTAGTGAAAATGATTATTTTTTTATTTTTTGTTGTTTCACTGTACGTAAGTCTAGAATGGGGTTTTTGGGAAGTCACCAGGTCTAGTAATAACATAACATAAGTGGTTCTGCATGAATTTTAAGAAATAATACATTTTGAATATTAGAGCTTCACGGAGGTTAGGATTTCGTATGTTTTTTTTAAAAACATCCCTTTGTATATTTAAAATAAGCTATTGTATCTTTTGACACCTTAATATTTTTTTAAAATACAATTGTACATACATAAAATATTTATACAAAAAATCTACTTACTGAGATATTATCAAGATAGAATTAATTTTTGTAACACCTACATAAATAGTTATAAAAATTATTTCTTTTAATTTTTAATAATATTTTATATTTGATTTGATTGCTTTAGATGTGTTTAATTGAACTATGTTTTTGCACTTAGGCCCTTCTTCGACCAAGCCACGGATTTTAAGAACGGTTTTTTGCCAATTTATAAATATAATTTTTTTAGGCTTATGGATATATTATTATGTAGTTTAAATTTGTTTTAATTTAAATGTAAATTTAATCCCACAACATGTTTAAAAATATACAAAGGCCCTTTTGTGTCCTGATGATATTTTAATAAATAAATTATTTGAAAACACTTTTTACTAATTAAACATTTATCATAAAACAATACAATCTGAAATTTGACAAAACAATTTTTTTAAACTAAAAGTAAAGTGACCTTATCAAATAAATTACATAAAGAATTGTGACTTTATGGATTTTAAGTGGATTTTGGGTACATCGATATCTCAGTTATTAGACATGGGACCCATACGAAATTTATATGAGTTTATAATGACTTTATATAGACAAGTTATGCGCAAGCAGAATTTAAATTGAAGTTTGCGAAAAAAAGTTAGTTTTTTAGTGTGCCCCCAGCCTCCTGCCCAACAAAATTAAGATAATTCAAATTAAAGTGGTCCAATATTTAATTCACTGCAGTTTATTAACAAATTTCCAAATGTATTAAAAAAAATCAAGTATTACAGATTTATACCATTTTAAATTTTTATTAATTCTATTTCTAAATTTAAAAAAAATAGTATAATGTTTATGAAACTTTATACATATTAACATATATATGTATAATATGTATATACAGGGCGAATCGTAAGGATCGCACCGAACTCTAGGACTGCATTCTACACATTAAAATAATTTAAAAAAAGTCAAATGTTCTTATACGATTCTCATTTGTTTTGAAGTTATAGCGTAATTAAAAAATAAATAAAATGAAACGGTAACATTTATTTAATAGTTATGACTAATAACCCCCATTGAGTTCTAAACATGCTCTGCTACGTCTGCGAACAGCGCCTGTTGCTTGTCCTATTAACTCTTGTTTTTCTTTAAGAACTGCGCCAGTATTAATTATTCGTTGAATTAGTGCCTCTCGATTATTCACTTTAACTTTGTAAACTTCTGTTTTAAACCAACCCCATAAACAACAATCTAGTGGTGTTAGATCTGGACTTCTTGGAGGCCAACTAATTGGGCCTCCGCGACCAATCCAACGCTCTGGAAACATTTCATCCAAGTGTCGCTTGACCTCACGAGCGAAATGTGTCTCTAGTAATCCTGGCAACTCATTTATTAAAAAATTAAGGTAGTGTTTCCCTGTGTGGCGATTCTCCATGATAAAAGGGCCAATTATAATTGGCCCTTTTATCATGGAGAATCGCCACACAGGGAAACACTACCTTAATTTTTTAATAAATGAGTTGCCAGGATTACTAGAAATAATTATTTACCCAGCAATCATAGCACACCACAAATTTACTGAAAACTTGTACTGAAAATTGGTTTCGACTATAGCATGGGGATTTTCGTCAGACCATACGTGAGAGTTGTGCGTATTATTAATGCCGTCACGGGTAAATGTTGCTTCATCAGTAAAAAGTAAACGCGATACAACTCAACGATTGTTAGTTACCCACCGACAAAATTCCACACGTTTAGCATAATCTTTCGGGTGTAGAAACTATACTCTTTTGTAAATGGTATGGGTATAAGCTTTGCTCGTGAAGTGTGTGTATTACCCGTTTTTGTGAAATGTCCAATTGAGTAGCGATTCTTCTGGTGCTGGTCGTTGCATCTTCTTCCACTAGATCCAAGATATTTTCCACTTCTTCTAAAGTTTGTCGATCAGCTTTTTCAGATGTTATTTTAGCACTTGGAGTTCCATGGACTGCAGTCTCGCAAAGTTTGTTAAAAACTCGAATAAACACGTTTTTGTCAGGAGCCCTTGCATTGCCATTACAAAAATCATATAAGTATACTCTTAATTTAAATAAACTTTTGGCATTTTAAAAAAATTTAAACTGGGAAATTACAAAAATACTACTGACGCTGACAGTTAGGCCTTTTAAATTTAAACAATATGTATAACTATATTGTTCAAAGAACATAAGATAATAATTTATTTTTTAAAATTTCATATTTTTTTTTAAATTTTGCTATAACTTGAAAACAAATAAGAATCGGATAAGAACAGTTCAGTTCTTTTTATTACATTGATGTGTAGAATGCAGTCCTAGAGTTTAGTGCGATCCTTCCGATTCACCCTGTATATATATTATAACCATTAAAACTTTAGAGTTGGCAAATATGCATTGTTAAAAATAGAGATAAAATTAATTAAAAACTACATAACATTATATTCAGAACAAAAATTTAAAAAAGGCACTGGAACACATGATTAAAAAGTTTGACGCTTTAATTCTAGATTCACATGAATTAAGTTTAATGATCAAAACTCCAATAACTTTAATAGGATTTAATTTAAATATTTTAATTTTGACCAGAGATAAAAATAAACTTTTATTGATTTTAATTTTAAAAATATAATATATAAATAAAGTATTTTTTCTACTACCTTACTAGAAAACTTATTTTTCCACCCCCGAGCGAGGGAGGAAAATGCCTCTTTTCCTCCCCGGGAGGAAAAAAAATTTCCTCCCTCTTTTTTTTTTAATTTTATATTGGCAAGAGTTTTTGTACCTTGTCTAGCTTTATTTGATTTTGTAGGAAAAAGATTTACTCCGCGCTTGTCCAACCATTCTTTTAACATTCTTTTAACAAACTGTATTCATATTCACTATTTTAGATTTTTAAGGAAGGAAATTAATTGCAACTATTAAATTTATGATAAACATTATGACAGCTTATAAAAACTGTTATGTTGGTATTACCAAAAATACCATAGCAACAAAGCGTTGTCAACATAACGTCGGTGACGCAAAACCTACTTAATATTTTGTCATAATTTTATAGCCCCATACCGGGTAAGTAAAAGGAACCGGAACGCTTAAAATGTCTTAAAACCGTTAAAAGGTAATAGAAAAAACTATATACATACCTCAGGAGGAAAATGCATTTCCTCCCTTGAATATTTAATGCCCTTCGCTTCGCGTCGGGCATCAAACTATTCGCGGAAGGAAATGCAATATTTTCCTCCCATGGTATGTAAATAGCTATATTATTACAATTATATAATTTTAAAAATGTAATATATAAATAATAGAGTGGTCCAAAAAAAAAATTTCCCCTTTAAATAACACGTAAAAATTTTTTTTTCGTTTTTACCCGGTAAAACGAGGAAAAATTTTTTTTTTTTTGAATTTCTTATCAATGATTCTTGTAGAAAATTTAATTTTCTACAAAAAAGTCCTGAAGTAGTTTTTTCGTAATCCTAACGGGTAAAAAGTTATTAAGCTTCAAATACTTGCTACTTAGTAAATTTGAAGTAAGATCGTTTCAAAGCAATTTTTTTTACGTGTTATTTAAATGGGAAAATAAAAATTCATTGAGCTTAGTGGAGAATTGAGATATTGCGCTTTGGAGGAAATTTTTTTTATACCTAAAAGAAGGTTTTGAGATGATAAGCAAAAAAAAATTATTTTTTTGGACCACTCTAATAAATAAAGTATTTACATTTAAGAACGTGACACCAAGTTTTTTTACATTTCCTATTTTTTTATAAATTTTATTATACATATTTTTAATCGGTACTGTATTTTCGCAAATTATAAGTAGGTCACTAAAGTTTTGACTGCAAGGGAGGATGTAGGTGGCCATTTATAGGTTTTTAAGTTTTATATGTGTTTGTCCTATTGTGTAGAAGTCCTTTGTACACTGAGAAAAAGAAATATTTATTAATAAGAAATCAAAACAGTTGCGATTTTTTTTAAATATATGTTAACTATTAAAAAATTTCTTAATCGTGAACAAATTATATACTAATTATTATAACATCGTCCGGTGATTGTGTTTCAGACAAATAAAGGATAAAGTTGTCTTAGAACTGTGATATATTAACAGTTAATATACCTAAATTCGAATAAACGTTTTAACATTTGTCAACATAAATTTAAATGCAATATGCGCAAGCATGTGACGTTGCCGTAGTTTTTTACAAAATGGAATTTCGATATATTAACAGTTAATATATCTTCATTTGCTTATACGTTATGAGCTTCTTTAATTCAACTTATAAGTTATAAGGTTATAACCAGTTCTTAGACCCAAATTAATATTTCTTTCGCCATATCCAACTCAACGATATGTTAATAGTTAACGTGCCTCGTTATTAACAAATATTTCTTTCTCTCAGTGTAGGGAACTTTAAGCTCGCAGTGCGTTCCTACCCCCAACTCACACCATCCATTCAGTTGGGTTCTGGGACTTCTTAGAAAGTAAGGGTGGAACTAAAAGAGCTCTTTTGTATATAACTTTTTTTGTATCCACACCTGTTAAGTTTACAATGATGACTTCTTTAATGTTGGGAATTGGCATTAAAGATTAAAAAAAAACTTAGTAGCACAATGTATGTTTATAATTTAAGGTATTTTATGGATAACCTGTATATGCAACTAAAGTAAGAAAAATCGTGCATCAATTTATATAGTACTATAATATTTTTTCGCGTAAGTTCCACTGTCCAATTACATTAAATCCACAAAACTTGCATTACAAAAAAAACCAAAATGTTGTATCTGTATTGATTTTCCATTAGGTTTGCTTTAAATGATTTATTCAGTTTGTTAACAATGTTCGGAAAATTTCTATTGTTGGAATAAAGTTCGAACTAACTAAAGTTGCTTACCTCAATTATTGTTTGTCCTAAAAAGTCGTCCGATTCTCTGGTTAATTTCTGTCTGAGTTTGCTTTTCAGGTCGTTGTCTTCGTCCCAAACTCGCACTTTGATACGGTCCGAGGAATTATGACACTCGCTGGAAAATATTAGGTTAATTGGATTTTTTTAGAAAATGGGTTAAAATCACAAAGGTGAAATATGTGTTTATAATATTTAAAAATATTTATTGTATGTACCTTTCTGAAAATATTGTTTCAATGTCTATTATTTCCACCATACTTATGATCATTTTACTATGATTTTTTTAGTGTAGTGTGGTAGATCTTCCCCACGGTGTGCCTGAACGAAGTTTAAGTCACATAAAAATTCCGCCAAAAACTGATTGCAGTTTCTTGTTCGGGACCCTTTGGTTACTTTAAAATTATATTTACCAAAATCCTAGCTGCTCCTCTTTTCAATTTTTTTGTTTAATTTTTGTTTATCTTTATCTACCTTTGACAGAGTACACATTTGTACACCGATTTTTATAATATTGAAGTATATTGTTAAGGAGATTTGGAGAAAAAATTTTTTTACTCTGCACATCATTTAATATATACAGGGTTAGCCAAAAATCGCTTCTTTTAATAAAGCAAAAGCGTTTGGCATAACACGCAAAAAAGATATATACCCACCCATGTTTTTTTAGATATTTTTATGTTTATTAGGCTACAAAATGTGATTCTTATTAAGTCCTAATAAGAAAAATTGATTTTGAATAAAATTAAATAAAATAACATTTTTTGGATATAAATCTTTTTTTGCATTATGCTTTTTACTATATAAAAAAGTGATTTTTGGCTAACCCTGTATAAATCTAATGATGTGCTCAGTATAAAAACAGTATATTCTCCAAGTCTCGTTAACAATATAATCCAATATTATAAAAATCGGTGTACAAATGTGTACTCTATCAAAGGTAGACTTTCAGATAAACAAAAATTTAAAAAAAAAAATAAGAATTTTCAAAAAATTTGGAAAAGAGGAGCATTTAGGATTTTGGTAAATATCATTTTAAAGTAACCAAAGGGTCCCGAACAAGAAACTGCAATCAATAAAAATCGGTGTACAAATGTGTACTCTGGCAAAGGTAGCGATAAACAAATAATTAAAAAAAATGAATTTTTTAAAAATTTAAAAAAAGCGGTTAGAATTTTGGTAAATATGGTTTTTAAATCTCCAAAGAGTGCCGATCAAAAAACTTTAACCAGTTTTTTGTTCAAAATTGAAAACTACTAAAAAGCCTAAATTAAACAACATTGTTTAAATATTCTTTAAGCGTTATTTTATTTAATTTTATTAAAAATATATTTTTTTTATAAAATAAGAATGCCATTTTGTAACCTGATAAACGTAGAATTGTCTAAAAAAAAGTGGGTATAAATCTTTTTTGCGTGTTATGCCAAATTCATGAATTTACTGTTTTGCTTCATTAAAAATAAGCGATTTTTGGCTCACCCTGTATATATCAAATGATGTGAACAGTATTAAAAAGTCTCCTCAATAATATACTCTAATTTAATAAAAATCGGTTTACAAATGTGTACTTTGTCAAAGGTAGACTTTGAAATTTTCAAAAAATTTCGGTAAGAGGAGCAGCTAGGATTTTGGTAAATATCATTTTTAAGTCACCAAAGGGTCCCGAACAAGAAACTGCAATCAGTTTTTGGCGGCATTTTTATGTGACTAAACTTCGTTCAGGCACACCGTGTACCCTTTTTGTATTCGTCGTACCTTGACATGTGGTAGATCCAACGGTCATTATAAAAATGTCATCCAAAACATTATTTATTGGAAAAATATAGACACTATTTAAAAAAAATCTAAGGAGTAAACTGAGTTCTGATTCAGTTTAAGCGAGCTAAAATACATAGAAATATCATGGCCTTATTCGTACGCCATTTTTTTGTGGATCTGTTTAATTTATCGTTGTTTATACAAAATTAAAGAAATAATTTTTAATTATATACCTATATAAAAAATGTTCTAAAATGTTCACTGATATAGGCAATTTACCCAACTTGGTGTGACAGTTGAATGCCTATATACGAGGTGTGTTCAGAAAATATCGGGAATTTTCGTTTTTTGAAACAAATATTTATTTATTCGTCTATATAAATGTTGTCGCCTTCAAAATAGTCCTCATTGGATATTATGCACATGTGCCAGCTCTTCTTCCAATACTCGAAACACTTCTAAAACTCGATCTTTGGGATAGCCTTTAGTTCTTTTTTCAATGCGCTTTCAAGGTTCTCTTTATTTTTGGGAAAAGTCAGACAAAGGCATGTCTGGCGAATATGGAGGCTGGGGCATCATTACAGTATTGTTTTTGGCCAAAAATGTTGTTCAAAATTTAGCAATTTTAGAACAAATTTTGCTGCCACGCGTTTCATACCCAAAACATTCGAAAAAATTTCATGGGATGAGCCAATCGATATACCAACATCATCAGCGACTTCTCTGATGGTTTATAACCATTTCTTCCACTTTTCCATGTTTTTATCGGTTGTTAATGTGCTTGTGCGTTCGGGGCGTCATTCAACGTCTTCACAGCCATCTTAGAAACTCTTATACCAAACTCTTGTTTTACTTATAGCAGACTCACTATGGGCCTTTGTTAACATTTCAAAGAGTTTATTTCATTTTTTAAGCAAAATTGGATACAAATTCTTTGATCCATTTCTTTTAACGAACGAAAAATCGCCGAGATCATAAAACACGTCTAACCTTAGCGGCTGCCACAGACAAAGTAAACAATGAAAACAGCTAAAGTTTTTATCAAACTTCGGGGGCATGTATACCGGCATAATAAAGAAAATTGTATGACAACCGGACCCTCCGAACCCGCGAAATTTAACAATTCCCGTTATTTTCTGAACACACCTCGTATATGTACATTTACATGAAACAATATTATTTTCATTCACCTTTAGATATTTTTGTTTTATTTTTAGAAAGGTTCATTTTTTCAATTTTTTATAATTAAGGATATTTTATAAAAATGTTCATCTCTGTGATTTGGACCCATTAAACTAACTTTTTTTCAGTAAAAGTACAAATACATACAAATAAAACTTTTCGTCCCAGACGGGATTCAACTCTTGCGGCATCGTTCTCGTTCGTTTTTTCACTTTTCCCACCTGCACCGTTACGTAGGGGTCGCTGGTGCCGCTCTTATCCTTTGCGATGAGTCCTTGAGCCGACTTCACTGCAAATTTCATTGTTACCATGAAACCCTTTCGTTCACCGTTTTCAACGATTTTTTGTTGTTAGTTTTTTTAGAGTGTGGTTGCTTGTGTATTGTGTTAAGTGCTAAACTAACCCTGGTTAGTTGATATTTGGAAAAATTGAAGATAGGGGGAAATTAGTCCAGTCTTGCCAAGAGAGGTTGCATTTTTTATGTGTTTTTTGCAAAATAACGATTTGTAAATTTTTGGTTGGATTTAATGAATTTCTTGTTAATTGTAGAATATTTATTTAGTGTATAAAACAGTTTAAAAAAAAATAATAAAAAATTGTATTTTTGTTTTCAAATATTTAAAATTAAAAAAATAATAATTTAAGGTTTAAGTATATTATATATTTATTTTAAATTTAAAATATTTTTTACCACTATTTAGCAAAACAAAATCTTAAATTTAAAAAAAGTTACATATATATAATATAATATATTATGTATGTATTTATATAATAATGGATTGAAATTATAAATATCATACATTATAAATACAAATAAATTTCAAATATATCTACCACAATATAAAAATAACGGTAAAAATTTAAAAACAAATTGCTTTTAATTAAACACCTTATTATAATATTGTTAATATTAAAACAAATTTTCTAGAGAACAATTTACAAAAACCTTATATTTCTTCTTAAATTCTAATTTCTAATTTACCGTTTATTCTCAAAAAAATTCAATTTTTTGTTATTTGTTCAACATAAAATTTGTTTTAATATTTTTTTCTTTAAAATTGTTTAGAATAAGGTGCATTTTATTTTCAAATAATTTTTTAAGTAAAATACTTTCTCGTAATTACTGAGTGATTCCATATAAGATTGGTTTTGTGTATATTTAAAAGTTTTATTAAATAATTGTGTTATCACTAAGGCCCGGATTTTTAGGTCAAAAAGTGATAAAAGTTTCCTAAATTAGGTGATATTTTTAATAAAATAGGTATTTTAGGTACCTATATTTTATGTACTTATAAAATACATAAAATATAGGTACCTAAAATACCTATTTTTTTAAAAATATCACCTAATTTAGGAACCTTTTATCACTTTTTGACCTAAAAATCCGGGCTCTAGTTATCACATATTATGTAATAAAATTTAAATCATAAAAATAATCTAAATTGTGCAAGAATTTTGAAAAAATTTACAGTAAACAGTAAAACCTAAAAATCAATACCGTTTATGTGGGTAAAAAATAACATTTTCATCTGTAAGAACTTAAAAAAACTCATTTTAATTACTATACGCTTGAAAAAAAATGGTACATTGTGCAACGAATGTAGAAAATGGTCGATTTTGAATATATATATATATATATATATATATATATATATATATATATATATATATATATATACAGGGTGTCCCGAAATTAAGGGGCCAAACTTAAACAGTGCATTCTTTATAGAAAAAATAAGACTTTTTTGTTTAATAAACATATATCAAAAAATGCCCCCTAACGGAGCTACGCCCCCTTAAATAGGAGCTTAAGAGCATCATTTTTTTAAAACTATTCCTAGAGGGTTGAACATGAAGACATCAATTTTGGGGACTTTGGTATTTTTGACATTCTGAATCTGGATCTATAATCAAAACTGTTAAAATTTAATCATAGGCGTAACATTTTTGGGGGCAAATTTACAAAAACAGCCCCAACTTTTTGCAGAGTGAGTATTTTAATGTTTTGTTATAAAATTATGAAAAGGTATAGTTTTTCACGAAAAATAGGTACTCTTGCTTTCAATCGCTCAGATGCACCATTTTCGAGAAAATTGCAATTTAAATTACTATGCTTAGCATAATTTCTAATATTTTCATTAAAAAGCTTTGGGACAAAAGTGACGTTTGGGTTATTTGCTGACTTTACATTTATTTTTATAGTTTAGTTAATATTTTTTGGCTAGATTTTTGTTATTTTTTATTATGGAGCGATTTTCCAAATTTTAACACAAAATTTTAACGAAAATATGAGATGTGTATGCTATGCAGAGTATTTTATAAATGCATTTTTCTCGAAACTGGTGCATCTGAGCGATTCAAATCAAGACTACCTATTTTTCTTAAAAAACTGTAAGTTTTCATAATTTCATAAAAAAATTAAAATATTATCTCGGAAAAAAGTTGGGGCTATTTTTATAACTTTTCCCCCCCAAATGTTACGCCTATGATTAAATTTTAACAGTTTTGATCTTAGATCTTGATTCAGCATCTAAAAATTACCAAAGTGCCAAAATTTCATTTCTTCATGTTTAACGCTCTAGGAATAGTTTAAAAAAAACTATTCTCTTAGGATCCTATTCAGGGGGCCGTAGCTCCGTTAGGGGGCATTTTTTGATACATGTTTATTTACTTTTCTATGAAGAATGCACTGTTTAAGTTTGGCCCCCTAATTTCGGGACACCCTGTATATATATATATATATATATATATATATATTAGGGTGGTCGTTAAAAATTAAATTTTTTGTGACGCCCCCTAAAATGCTTCGTTTTGATGGAAAAACACTAGCAATTTTTTTTTAATTAAAAACAACACGTGCCTCAAGACGATCTAAGTTAATTATAAGTACAATCATGTCTTTTCTGAAAATATGGAATAATAATTTTTTTGAGATTTAAACATTATTAACAATGAAATAACTTCAACTTGCAGTGAAGAAATCTAGATATTAAAATTACGTTTGTACTAATTTAGTTTTAAAATAAAAATATCAATTTGAATATCTTTCATTTCTTTATTTAAAAGACTGGGAAAATTTTTAAATTTAAACTTTTTCTATTGTTATTTCGATTAACTATTGTTTTTTATTGATTTGGGTTCTATAATTGTTTATATTTCGAATAAAATTAAATATTTCATAAAAAATTAAAAAAAAAAACATGATTATACCAAAAAATTAACTTAGATCGTCTTAAGGCACGTGTTGTTTTTAATTAAAAAAAAAAAAATCCTAGTGTTTTTTCATCAAACGAAGCTTTTTAGGGGGGTGTCGCAAAAAGTTTAATTTTTAACGACCAACCTAATATATATGTTCTTCCACTTTTGTAGAAATGATTTGGCCTTGACAATTCTGCCGTGCTTAATGAAAACGCCGTAACCAACAATTTTGAGATTTTTGTTTTACGGCATTTTCTACTAGAACAATTCATCCTGCGTCTATCCCCTGTACTCAAAAAACCGTATCTATATTTCATATATATTTTTGAGTACCGGGGATAGACGCAGGATGAATTTTTCTAGTAGAAAATGCCGTAAAACAAAAATCTCAAAATTGTTGGTTACGGCGTTTTCATTAAGCACGGCAGAATTATTGTATTGTTGGCACTGTCAACTTGACAGATAAGTGTTTTGGTTTTCGAAATAGTATATTACACTACAAGGGCAGAAAGTGTGAGATTCCTGCACTGCGCGCCATGTTCAGGGCTCTTACACTTTCTGCCCGTGTAGTGTATACTATTTTTCTTGCTACCCGGCCGAAAATACGGGAAAAAATTAAATGTGTATATCGAAACATATTGATGCCTGCCCCGACATTTGCGGCACGAGCGATATTATAGAGGGCGGTGGAGGTGGAATCGGGGACGAAACAACGTATTTTCAGTCGAGGTAGTAAGAAAATGTTTTTTTTTTATTTTAAGTATGTAAATATAGCTTTAATTTATTGTTTACATTGTCTTCTTATTGTACTTTGTCTTTTTTGTTGTTCCACTAGTGAAACAATATTTTCATTAATCAACTAGTGTATAATGTCTCAATTCTACGTGTGGTACAATAGTTATTTACGATATAAGTGGGATAAGAGCTTTATTATAAAATATTTTATCTACGCCAGTGAGATAAGAACTTCTTATCCCACTCATTTTGAGTGAGATAAGAAGTTCATTAACGCACGCGTTTTTCTCTGTTTTTAACCAATCAAATAAAAAAGTCAAAATGTCAAAATGTCAAAATAACCCTAAATTAAGTCTTAGACAAAAATAATTACCGTTTATTTTTTCATTTAGAGGCGTAGATAAAAATTTGTACAATATACGTGTGATAACGCTTTATTAACGTACTTTTGCGATTGCCCAACTCGTGCTACGCACTCGTTGGGCAAATTTCGCATGCGTACGTTAATAAAGCTCTTATCCCACTTATATCGTAAATAACTATTATATCATAGGTAATTTCCAGGAGCATCCGCCATTTTTGCAACTTGTGAAAAACATACTTTTTAGGACTATCTAGTCTGTATAATCCATGCCAAATCCACAAAATAGTTTACAATCGTTATTTCGCAATCCCGTTTTAAATTGAAAACCCCTTCATAAAGCTATTCAAACTTTAAACTGGACTGATGTAGCTTCTTTAAACAATAAATCATCAAGTAAGTCGAGAGAAAGAGAGAAAGAGAAAGAGAGAGAGTAGGGTACTTACAAGCACACTATTCCGTGAAAAACTATTTATCTTAAGATAGTAAATGTATACATGCTAAACAAAGATAATCAACACATCAGGTGGACTCATGCCATAAGAAGAATAAGAAACTTCACAGAGAAAATTTTAAAAAGCTCGTTTAAGCAACTTTTATTTTTTTATTATAAAAATCATTAATTTTATTTAACTTTTTTTTATAACTAAGTTTAACTGTAGTGTATTTTGTGCATCAAGTGTGTAAAGAAATTTAATGAACAAGTATTTAAAATTAAATTGTTGGTCAGTTTAATTTAGGTTCATAAAGTTTAATTTATTTTAAAAGTAAATTATTTAAGTTTTATTTAATTAAATTTAAATACTTTATCATTAAATTAAGTAACTAGTACAATCACTGGTATTTACAATAAAGCAGCAATATTACAGATAAAATAATTTGCAGATTATAAGTGAGGTGTATTAAGTGCAAAAAAGTATTCCAAATTTTAAAGAATTTTTTTATGTATTATCCTGTTATATTGCTGGTTTGGGATGTTATTTACAAGACAAACA